CTCCAAACTGACTTCCATAGTGGTTTTAACAGTTTTATGCTTAGCTTTTTAAGACAAATTGTTTTCAAAGTGAATTTTACATTTCTGCCATCTGCCATCCATGCAGGAAAGTTATCGTAGGTAACTCCCATCCCCACCAATTGATTGCCAGTTGTGCATTTTTCTGTTTTTTTTTTTTTTTTTAATATTTAGTTTAATGATTTTAAAAAAGCACTCTAATGTCATTGTTATCTCACTGTGGTTTTAATTTGCATATCTCCATTGACCATCTTTTCACATGCTTATATTTATTTTTTTATTTTATTTTTTTTTTGACAGGTAAAGTGGACAGCAGAGAGAGAGACAGAGAGCAAGGTCTTCCTTTTCCATTGGTTCATCCTCCAGTGGCTGCTGCAGCCGGCATGCTGCGGCCGGCACACTGCACTGATCCGAAGCCAGGAGTCAGGTGCTTCCTCCTGGTCTCCCATAAGGGCACAGGGCCCAAGGACTTGGGCCATCCTCCACTGCACTTGCGGGCCACAGCAGAGAACTGGACTAGAAGAGGATCAACCGGGACAGAATCCGGCGCCCTGACCAGGACTAGAACCCAATGTGCTGGCACCACAGACGGAGGAGTAGCCTATTGAGCTGCGGCGCTGGCCTCACATGCTTATTGCCATTCATATCCCTCTGCCTGTTTGACTCTTTTGCAGAATTTGTAACTGGGTTGTTTGACATCATATCATTGCATTTTAAGAGCTTTTCTTGTTTTGCTTTAAATATATTCTGCATACAATTTCTTTGTAGGATACATGTTATTAAAATTTCTCTTGGTTTATGATTTACCTTTTTTTTTTTTACAAAAAGGATTTATTTTACTCACTTGAAATGCAGAGGAAGGGAGGGAAGGAGCAAGAGAGATCTTCCATATGTTGGTTCACTCACAAGACTGCCTCAACAACCAACGCTGGGCCAGACCAAAGTCAGGAGCCAGAGCTTCTGGGTCTCCCACATGGGTGCAGGGATGCAAGCATTTGGTCCATCTTCCACTGCTTCCCCAGGCATATCAGCAGGTAGCTGGACCAGAAGCAGAGCAGCCAGGACTTGAACTGGTTGCCATATCGGATGTGGGCATCACAGGCAGCAGCTTTACCTGTTACACCACAATGCCATTCCCCCTGCTTGCTTTCTTAACTTTTATTCTTGGGTAAACACAGTTAATTTTGATTAAGATCAATTTATCCACTCCCCTCACCCTCTGCTGCCAAGCATAGTGGTTGTTTTGTGATCTAAGAACCCCTTCTCTACTCCAAAAAGGCAAAGATTCACTCTTGAAAGTTCTACAAATTTAATTTTTACATTTAGGTCCATAGCTTATCTTGATTGTTTTGTGGAAAGTGGGAGAGTGATGTTTCATTGTTTTCATATGAAAATCTATTTGATTCACTATTATCTGTTGAACCATTTGTTTCTGTTTGATACACTCCACATCATTATGTTTGTTATTCTTGTACTCAGTAATTTTATCCTTGTACTTTTTAAATATTTTAATATTTTCAGTATATTTTAATGTTATACTGTATACTGACCAATTTTAATACCAATTTTAACATTCTACCCTGCTAATTCTGTCATTATTTCCGCTTCTACTTACTCCTGACTGGAATTTCTTGCAATTCTGAATGGCTTTTGTGCATGTCTAGTAATTTTGTTTTAGTCCTAGACACTGAGTTTGTAAAGTCTAAGTGTTGAATATTTTTCTCCTTTAGAAAACATCATTTTTTTACTCAGAAAGTTAAATAACTCGAAAATTATGTTGATGTATTTAAATGACTCTTAAAAAATAGTTTTAATACCAAAGTAGAAAAGCTCTTCCATGACTAAGTTTAGCTTTCTTAGATATTCACTGAATTTTATTCAATGTACTTCAATTATACTTCTTCTGTTCAATGATTATATTTACTCTGGGTGGTAGGAAACTGCATGATCCCCAACCTTGTGTGAGTTCTAGAAACTGCTTGCATTATAATCCCAGAAACGTGCTTTATCAAAGTTGTTATGTATCAGGACTAGTGGAGAGTCATCCTACAAATAGATGGACTGGTTTTCAATCAGATTAATATGCAACTCATACTGATTCCTTGAACTCTTTCTCCAGATTGTTTCTTCTTTTCTGGTTCTTTGCCCTCACAAATTCTACCTACTCACAGAGATCTGTTTTCTCAAGGCAGTGAAAGCTCTGGGCCCTTTTTAGTTCCACTCTGCCTTTACTTCAGTTTGGAAATTATCTACAGAAAAACGTTGGGAGTCATCATAGAGTCCATTATCATTAACTTCTTTTCTCATAATCCTGTGCTCCATTTTCCAATCTCTACAAATTTCTATAAGAACTGTATATGATGTAGTTTCTTATCTATATACAACAGAAAATAAAGCCAAATTGTATTACTTCCTCATAGTCATATGGAAGTTCATTCTCTGACCTAACATTGACAGTTTTAACAATTCCATTGTTTTTCAAATATGTAACATTTTAAGTTAATAAAACTAATAATGGTTTTTGTAATGTTTGTAATTTATTTCTTTAAATATGAAATAGTTTTAAATTTGTAAAATCAGTATTTACAAAGGTTTTTACAGCAATAGCTGACAATTCCAACACCTTATATTGTATAAGTTTGTTCCCACTGTTTGATGGTTCTTGTCTAGCTTATTTATTAAGTATCTTCTGAATTTTGCCTTCAAAAGATTAGACTCCCTAAGGACTAGGATACATATAACCTCTTTCAGAGAGTTCCAATACTCAGTACTTGCGAATGAATTATATTCATTTATATTCATATATATGGCAACTCAGTACTTGCGAATGAATTATATTCATATATATGGCAAGGGGGAATTAAGATTATAGAAGGAATTAAGTTTGCTAATCAGCTGACTTTAAAATAAGATTATCTCAGTGGATCTAAGGTAACACAGGGTCCTTAATTTGGAAAGGAGGCAGAAGAGTCAGAGATACGGCACTATGAGAAATGGCCACGGATGTACTTGAAAATGAAAGGAAGACCACAATCCCTTAATACTGGAACCCTCTAAAAGCTGGAGAATGCAAGAAAACACATTCTGACCTGAGCCTTTAAAAAATACAGCTGTTCCAATAGCCTGATATCAGCCCAGTGAGATCCATTTCAGATTTCTGACCTCCAGAACCACTGGATGATAAATTTGTGCTGTCTTAAGTCAATAAACTCATATATGATATTTGTGATAACAGAAAAATCAAAGTATGTTTCAAACTAACTTTGCAGATCTTCTATAGGGCCCATCTGTAGAATAGTTTTCCCTCTTTACTGTTTTTTTGCTTGCTCTGATCATTGTGTCAAGAGAAACTTCTGGGAATGTGGGAAGGATGATTTAGATCCACTTGCTTTTCCCCTGAAGGCTTGACCCTTTGATGCTAGAGCTTAAGATAACCTCTCGTAAGATATATACTGGGACAAGTCCTGGTGTTTGAACTGTGATATTCTTGCTTAATCAGTCAAAAGAGCACAAACATATGGTATTAACATGATTTGAAGCTCAGGCAGTAATTTATGTCTTATTTTCAACAAATCTTTAAATTTAGCCTGGTAATCTCAATTGCCTTTTCAGTTCTTCATTGCTTTTAATATTTATTTTTTAATCTAATATTTTCCATTGTTTTCAGAAGTGTTAATTTATGGGGCTGGCTCCATGGTGCAATAGGTTAATCCTCCTCCTGCAGTGCCGGGGAATCCCATATGGGCCCCGGTTCTAGTCCCATCTGCTCCTCTTCCAATCCAGCTCTCTGCCGTGGTCTGGGAAAGCAGTAAAGGATGGCCCAAGTCCTTGAGCCCATGCACCCACATGAGAGACCGGGAGGAAGCTTCTGGCTCCTGGCTTTGGATTGGCGCAGTTCTGGCCACTGCGGCCATTTGGAGAGTGAACCCGCGGAGGGAAGACCTTTCTCTCTGTCTCTCCCTCTCATTGTAACTCTACCTCTTAGATAAATAAAAATCTTTATAAAAAAAGAAAGATGGCTGGTACATGGCTCACTTGACTAATCCTCCGCCTATGGCAGCTGCACCCCAGGTTCTAGTCCTGGTTGGGGCGCCGGGTACTAGTCCCAGTTGTTCCTCTTCCGGACCAGCTTTCTGCTGTGGCCCAGGAGGGCAGTGGAGGATGGCTCAAGTGCTTGGGTCCCTGCACTGGGAGGAAGTACCTGGCTCCTGGCTTCGGATTGGCACAGCGCTGGCCATAGCGGCCATTGGGGGAGTAAACCAATGGAGGGAAGACCTTTCTCTCTGTCTCTGTCTCACTCTCTATAAATCTCTCTCTTACTGTCTAACTTTGCATGGAAAAAATTAAAAATTAAAAAAAGTGTTGATTTAGATAAACTTAGAACATCCTTAGATCATCAAAATTCCGTATCCATTCCCTTTGAATATACAGATGCTCTTTGACTTACTTTGGGGCTGTATCTCACTAAACCCATCATAAATTGCAAATATTGCTATCAAAAATGTATTTAATATTCCTAACCTCCAAACATCATAGCTTAGAACACAGTACACTGTAGAGTATTGGCTGCTTTTTCTTATGATTCTGTTACTGACTGGGAGCTGCAGCTCACTGCCACTGCCAGTTGCACAAGAGTTTCAAACCCATACCGCTATCCTGGGGAAAAGAAAAAAATTAAAAATTTGAAATATAGTTTCTACTGAATGCATCCAGCTTTTGCACAATGAGAAAGTTGAAACTAAGTTGAACCATCCTCAGTCACAGATCATCTGCACTACAAAGTTCACTTACATAAATGCATTAGTTATTCACTTCCCTATTGAGATCAGAGAAGACATTTCACATTTTTACTTACAAACAGTGCTACATTAAAAACTTTCATTTACTGTCTCATCCTTTCCAAGTATTAGTTGCTCCGTTTCTCCTAGGTAGAAATTTTTATGTGGAATTACTTGACCCTGGGGTATGAACATTTTTCCCCCTAGGGGAGCATGCAAACGCAGTTCCCCAATACTGCAAATTAATAGTTTCCCACATTTGGGGAAATCACAGGGGTCAACACATCTGCAGAGCAATAAAAGAGCCTCGCCCTGGAAAAAAAATCACCTGCATGATCATGGTGTCTCCACTGCCGTATAAGTAGGAACATTTTTAATTTTATTAATATTGCATTATAACGTGAATGATTTTGTAATCTCATCAGCAATATTTAAGTTCTGCTTTCCCAAATGGTCACCAATTGGTGCTATCAGACTTCATATTTGTCTATTACATGAATATGAAATGATATATTACTTTAATCTGCTGATCCCTGATTATTAGTGAGGCTTAGCATATTTTCAAATGTTCTGTTTGGAGATTTCCCTTTTGGCTGCTTTTAAACTAGACTGTTAGCCCTTTTAAAAATTTAATTATAGTGTTTTTGTATTCTGGGTAGTAAATTTTAAGTTCGTAAGTTGCAAACATTCCTCAGTTACACCTGGCCTTTCATTTTGTTCTCAGAGATTTTAAAATTTGTTTTGATGTACCAAAATAAAACATTTTGTTTGCACCTTGTTTTATAGTTCGTGCATTTCTGAAATTCAAAGGTAATCATTTCACATGTGTATATGTATGCCTTTGGCTTTCACATGTAGTTTATTTAATCCACTGAAATTCATTTTTATGAAAATAATATGACAAAACAATTTTTATACTAGCAACTTTCTATTAAATTGATTAGAAGGCCACCTTTATTACTCATGAAATATCAAAATATATGTGGGGCTATACTTTTTAATCAGTAATTTTTGTTGGTATAATTTGCTACCACATAATTCAACTATTTTCTGTCTATCGATTTATCTTTTCTGGATATTACATAGAACTAGAATCACATCAGTTGTGCTCTTTATCTAGCATCTTTCACTGAGCATAACATCTTTGAGGTTTACCTATGTTATAGCATATATTAGTACTTAAATCCTTGTTATTGCTGAATAGTATTTTATTGTTTGGATATTCCACATTTGTTTATCTAGTTTCCACCTCTTGGAACTTTGGGTTAGTTTCTATTCTTTGGATACTGTGAATAATGCTACAATGCACATTTGTATCCAAGTCTTTGAGTGGAATATATCTTTTTCTATACAAGTACACAGAAAAAGAACTACTAAATCATATGGAAATTGTTTATTATTTGAGAAACTGCCAAACTCTTGTAAAGTGGATGCATCATTTTACATTAACATTATAGATTTCTTAACACCCTTATCAACACTTAGTCTTTTTAAATTGTAGCCATCATAGTGGGTGCAAAGTGTCATCCCAGCTCCCTAGTGATTAATGATGTTGCACAATCTTTTCATGTACTTATTGGCAATTCATACATGTTCTTTAGTGGAACATCTATTCAAATCTTTGGCCCATTTTTAAGTTATCTATCGTTTCATCATTAAGTTTTTTTGTGGTTATAAATCCCTTAAGCGATATTATCTGCAAATATTTTCTCTCAGTCTGTGGTTTTTCTTTTCAAGCACAAAAGTTTGTAACTTTAGGTAAAATGTATCCTTTTTCTTTGTATATCTCTTTTTAGACTCTAAATTGGTTTATTCTTCTCCACTATAATGTGTTAAGGAAAATTATTTTATCATTTTGAAATATTCTTAGTTTTATGATTGTCTTAATAAAAGTCCAGCATATTTTTTTTAAACCTTACCTTATTCTAGTTGGTCTAGCTGGCTTTAGTTGACTACTAAAAATGTCAACTTAACAACAACAAAACCCAAACAAACAAAATAACCCAACCTTGGGAACAGCATTATGTGCAGCAGGTTAAGACACCAACTGTGGCACCAGTTTGAGTCCTGGTTTCTCTGCTTTGATTTAGCTCCCTGCTAATGTACCTGGGAAGGCAGTAAAAGGTGGTCCAAGTGCTTGGGCCCCTGCCACCCATGTGGGACACCCAGCTGGGAGTTTTGGGCTTCTGGCTTTGATATGGAACAACCCCAATCACTGAGGTCAGTTGGAGAGTAACCTAGTAGATGGAAGCTTGTGTGCTTACTTCCCCTGCTCTTGTGTCACTCTGTCTTCAAATAAATAAATCTTTAAAAAGAAAATCTTATTTCTCTGTGGTGTACATGGATGCAGCTGACTTTTAAACGAAATTCTTACTAAACTTTCTCTTGTATTTTTCTTCACAGATACCTCTAGAAAACCATAAGTATAATTCCTCTTTTCAATCATGTGCTTTTCCTTTTTTAATTTTCTTTTCTTGGCTATACTCTTCAGTTAAAATTGGACAGAACTGATAATACTGAGCATTTTTGACATTTTACTGATTACAAATGAAATTTCTCTAATGTTTCAAAACCATATTTAATGCCTTCTATAGATTTTTGGTACATCCCATATCTTTATCAGAGAATAAAAGTTTTCTCCTGTGGCATCTATTTTTATTTTCTTTTGGTCCAGAGTAATAGAACTTGTTTACTGAGCACATGGGAAAAGATGGGCAGTATCAAGGATTAGAGGTTTCAATGATATCTAAAAAAATGTATTGAGTAAAACTAATAGAAGATACCGAGTTACAACAGAGCTTTAAGATTTCATATATTAAAGAATTCTACATACAGGGTCCATGGAAATATCTTCCAAACTTCTGGAAACTAAACTGCCAATCAGCAAACGTGTGAATGATTATGTACTCTCAATATCTATATGCGCATAAGTATGCTTGTGTATATAAAGAAAATATATAAAAAGAAAATAAGATGAAATTAAAAATATTTTAAATGTTTTCATATTACTTAAGTCTTCTTTATAGTAATCATTAGTGGATCAAAGCATGTGTATCGCTTACTGGTTCCTGCATAACAAAAGATCACACACCTAGTGATTTAATGTATCACCAATTCATTCATTCAGTTCTTTAGGAACTTCCTTAGAAGCCTGGCACAATGAGGCTGGTTCCGTTCAGTGTATAATAAAACTAGAATAAAAATATGGACCAAGATGAGTTCTCATGTAGGGCACTGAGAAAAATAATCTGTTTCCAAATCCATTCTTGAGAATTTATTTTCTTGGCCGGCGCTGTGGCTCAATAGGCTAATCCTCCACCTGTGGCGCCGGCACACCGGGTTCTAGTTCCGGTCAGGGTGCTGGATTCTGTCCCAGTTGCCCCTCTTCCAGGCCAGCTCTCTGCTATGGCCCAGGAATGCAGTGGAGGATGGCCCAAGTGTTTGGGCCCTGCACCCGCATGGGAGACCAGGAGAAGCACCTGGCTCCTGCCTTCGGATCAGTGTGATGCGCCAGCTGCAGTGCATCGGCCGCAGTGGCCATTGGAGGGTGAACCAATGGCAAAAGGAAGACCCTTCTCTCTGTCTCTCTCTCTCACTGTCCACTCTGCCTGTCAAAAAAAAAAAAATTATTTTCTTATGGTTACAGAACAGGGGCTGTTATTTCCTTGCCATCAGCCAAGAGCTACCCTTAATTCCTACAGGCCACCTTTATTAATCACAAGGCAAAGGTACAGAGCGGGATTTTGAGGGCCATCTTAGAATTTTGCCCACTGTAACAACATATGCACTAAGGGTGAGGTTCATTATTAACGGTTACGGCTATATTCACTTAAATTGCCACCTTGATAAATTTGATTTTGGGGTTCTATTTTCAAATATGATCAGAATTGCTCTGCTTTCTGCCAGCGCTCTGGCATATCAGGCCAAGCCGCCACCTGCAGCACCAGCACCCCATATGGGTGCAGGTTCGAGTCCCAGCTGCTCCATTTCCAATACAGGTCCCTGTTAATGTGCCTGGGAAAGCAGAAGATGGCCCAAGTCTTTGGGAACCTGAACCTATGTGGGAGACTCAGAAGAAGCTCCAGGCTCCTGGTTTCAGACCGGCCAAGCTCCAGCGGTTGCAGCCATTTGGGGAGTGAGTCAGCAGCTAAAGACCTCTCTCTCACATTCTCACTCTCGTTCTTGCTCGCTCTCTCCTCTTCTGCCTATCCCTCTCTGTAACTCTACCTTTCAAGTAAAATAGATAAATCGTAAAAACAAACAAACAAACAAAAACACTACTGGGCCTATGCCTTTAAAAAGCGGGATGAAGGGGTGGCATTGTGGCTTAGCGGGTAAAGCTGCCACCCGTAGTTCCAGCATTCCATATGGAAGCCATTTCAAGTCCCAGCTTCTCCACTTCCAATTCAGCTTTCTGCTGTGGCCTGGGAAAGCAGTAAAAGATGGCTCAAGTCCTTGAGCCTCTGCACCCACATGGGAAATCCGGAAGATGCTCTTGGCTCCTGGCTTCAGATTGGCCCACTTCCGGCCATTGCAGCCATCTGGGGAGTGAACCAGCGGATGGAAGACTGAAATTTTCTTGTTTATTTGTGCTTACATTTTAGCATTAACTTTAATGTGTGGTGTCTATGTAAACACTATTTTAGTTAAAACTGGGTGACAATGCAGTGAAAAACACACTTGAAGTGACAAATGCCAAAATTTTGAAAGTGATTGCATAAAGGAAAGGACTGCTTTCCATCATTTCAAGTCACAGAAATGAGATTGGACCTTCTGAAAATGAACCAGTATTAAACTCTATACTAAGTAAGTTTAATAATATTTTTTTGTAAAAAAAAGTATTTGTAAAAAAAAGTATTCAAGGCATTTAGAATTTTCTTCCTCTATCCCATAGACAGAATAGAAACCAAATTTGGAGATCATTTGTTAAAAGTATGGTCCACATTCATCTAGAATATATGGCTAAAAAGAATATTATTTCCATTCTAACAAGAAAAGTCTGGATAACCTATTTAAAAAAAAGCATAACTTTTCTTAAATCCACAGGAAAGCTTAGGTTTACACTAACTTAGTATATGAAAACTGACTCATTTGTCACAGCCAATGGGAAGAGGTAAAGCCATCACACAAATGAGTAAGAAGAATTCATCTGAAATTTTTAACAAATTGCTTAAGGGAAAGTGTGGACTAGTGCAGCATATAGAACCACTGAACTCTGGAGATAGCCACACATGGGCTCTTTACTTTGGACATTACCAACAGCAGATTAGAAAAAGTAGAAGAATGTCTCTCTTAGTGACACAGGCATAAAAGAATAGACTGATATTGTGGGAAAAGCATAAACCCTGTCTAATCTCTTTTCCCT